TTTTTTTTATGTGCATAAGAAAGTATGATATTTCTGAAAGCTCTTTATTAGCAGAAAAATTATAAATTGGTACAGTTCATCCCTTACTATCTGTAGGTGATTGCTTCAGGATCCCCCCATACCAGAATTTGCTGATTCATGGCTCTGAGTCATATAAATTGGTGTTGTTTTGCTATACCTCATACATACTTCTCATTTAGTAATCTTGGATTACTTAATAATATCTAATATCATATAAATGCTATGCAGGTAGTTGTTTCATTTTATCATTTAGGAACAATGACAAGAAAAGTGTCCATATATTATCAGTAGAGGTGGAAAATTTTTTCCTAGTATTTTTTTGATAGCTGACTGAATCATGGATTTGGAACCTGTGGGCACAGAGGGCCAATTGTATTACAGATTAATTGGTGCATACTTTTTTTATTGGTATATAAAATAACTGTACCTTCTTTCATAGGCATCACAGAATTAGATGAAATATGATAGATTATTCAGAGAGCATAATGGTACTTTTCAATGATAGTATAATTTTTTAATTACACAAGTATATTTTTAATCCTGGTATAGATACTAATGATAAACTCAGACTAGCGGAGATAGTGATGGAAAATGATTGTAACTTGGATGGTTGAAACAGCACTTTGGTAGGAAGCTTCCTGTTTGCATTGCAGTGTTTTAATGGCTTAGGGATTGAGGCTGCTGGGGATGTGAAGATGCCATTTGGCTTCTCAGGACCTTTGTCAGAAAATGATAATTTACATTTAAGTCATTTTTTAAAAATATGAATTATCACCAGCTTTTGAAACTAATTCTTCTAACTTTTAGTGCATGACCTCAAATTCTGTTTTAGTATTTCTCTTAAGGTATATCATAATTTAACAATAAATTGCAGTAGAAATTTTTGTATTCATAAGAAATATGTAAAACTTAAATATACTTCTAATTTAGTTACTGTTTCTGTCTTTCATATTCAGATATGCAGTATGCAACACAAAATGAGGTTCCCAATGGAAAAGAGGTTTCTTCAAGGACTCAAAATTACCCCAAAAATGCAGCTAAAACAAAACTGAAGCAGAAATTTTCCATGAAGGCACAAAATGGATTTAACAAGAAACGTAAAAAAAATGTACTTAACCCTAGAAAAGTCACCAAGGACTCTGAGTATGACTCAGGCTCTGAGGCCGCAGCTCACTGGATGAGGACTACAGCAGTGGGGAGGAAGTGATGGAGGATGGCTACAAAGGTAAAATCCTCCACTTCCTGCAGGGTGCCTCAGTTGGTGAGCTCACTCTGATTCCTCAGTGCTCCCAGAAAAAGGCTCAGAAGATAGCAGAACTCCGGCCCTTTAACAGTTGGGAAGCTCTGGTAAGGCTACATTCTTTTTTCCTCTGTGTGTGTGTGTGTGTGTGTGTGTGTGTGTGTGTGTGTGTGTGTTTAATTTACAGTACCGTTTATCGTCAAGGTGTCTTCAGCCCAGGGAAGCATAGATGGGTGGCCTTATCCTGTGTAGAGTCAAACATTACTTTCATTGTAAGCCAATAGTGTTTCAAATAGTGTCATATGACCTAATTTTGAATGAATTAAGGGGTGATTTTCGTGAAAAATCCAAGCTGATTGGCTGGGAATACTGTCACTCATTCTTTTGCATAGAAACTTGGTTCATTTCACTGCAGAAAAAGAAATTAGAGCTTCCATTTAGGAAGGAGTTGTTTGCTATCCTGTTCCGATCTGTTACTGCTGAGACGCCATGCAGAAAGCAAGAATGTGGCAGAATTTTTACTGCAACTGCTTGAAGAGCAATAGCAACATCCAAAAGGACTCCATGATTCAAAATGCCAGCCTGAGTGTTTCAGGCGTCACCACAAAGGAAGCAATTGTTTGTTTTCTTCTTCTGAAATGAGAGCACAGTCTCTAACATGTTTTCCTGGTTGAACATCGCGGCCATTTTATGGAGTGTCTCGGGCTGCAGCGTTTTTAATTGGAAAGATAGAAAAATTTGTGGAAACCTAGAGTTGAAGCATTAGGTAAATGGAAGGCATAAGCACTGGTAAGTACTCTTTGCATGATCGTTTTATGAAATTTGATTTCCTGTAAACAAGCTTTATCCAAAATACCAGGTTTGAGTTTTCTAAATGCCAACAGTCATCAAATCTTGCTCCTATAAAGCAATGTAAGAACTCTTATTAAATTTTGCTTCAACTCTTAGGATACTGGTTTTATAGTGCGAATTGTATCTAGGCCCTAGAATAAAAGCAATATGGGTGAGTTTTTACAGCTTTTGAAGATGAAGTGGCTCTGGCTGCTTTGTAAAGCTTTTCAGGACATTTTCCTAAGTTACAGAGCAAACTTGCTTTTGTGGTGAGTTTTATACCTATGACAAACACAAATGTGCATGAGTACCCTTGTGAAGTGTCTTAAAGTAGTGGTAGGGAGAGCCCCTGCACAACGGTTACAAAATGCAGCATTTTAAAAATTAAAATGTTTGAAAAATAGAAACATTGCTAGTACTTCATAGCTTTAAAAAAATAAGACCATCCCTTTTGCCTGAAGCCTTGCCTTTCCAGAGAACATCTGTCAAAGCAGGCCTTTTCAAAACTTGTTTGGCTTTGCCTGGGTGATTATTTGTTAAAGTATTTGCTGAAGGGCTTTCTTGTTCTTCTTTTCTTTCTTTTCTTCTTTCTTTTAATCTTTAATGGTCTCCTGTGTTGTTACAGAATTGGGTTGCTCAGGCTTGCTGGGATTCTAATTTATTTAATAAGGAATGCAATTATCTGCACTACTTTGTGTAGTCACTGTAACTACTTGCCCAGATAGCTTACAGTAAAAGAAAATCGTACAATTTTACCAGCAGTGTATGTGCCAGATGTTTTTAAAAATATTTGTTAACTTAACATGTAGAAACAGTATTTTTCCCTACTAACTAATTGGCATAGTTTAAATTAGTCTTGACACGACTTTGGAGATCATGCATTGCTTACTTAAACCTCTTAACTACTTGCAAATTTCTAAAAGTTGAACATAAAGACTGTATTGTTTGTGCTAATCAACCATCTAAATGTTGAATATTTTAGGTAATAGTTTGAAAGTCTATTAAAAGTAGACTTTCTTACTTGAGTTCACTTCACTATCCTGAGAAAAATAGGTAAATACATTTTCCCAAATTAATAGTGTAAGTTTATATAAGCTTTCAATTTCACTTAGAACTTTTACCATCTACTTTGATAAATTTAGAGTTTGAATCTGGCTAGATTATAGAACAACTTTTACTGTAATAAAATTATCAAAAGAAAAGACAGTACTGTGTATGTAATGGTAAAAAGCTGTGTAGTTTCTTCCTTCCCTTAATCATTAAAGTTTGGTATTTTATCTCTAAACAACTTTGAAACAATAGCAAAAGTCTTTTTGATATATAATATATTTAGACTTTTCTATGACAGATAAAAACTGAGATTTTGATCATTTCACTCAGTAAAGCTCATGAAAATGATGACATCGTATATTCGTCATGGTTTACTGATATCTAGTCAGCTCTTAAAATTATTGATGAAGCATATTTAAAAGTCAGTAAAGCTGGAAATTATTAGCAGTGTCTTCTGAACAAATTTTAGAAATTGCAGATCATTGGTTTTTTTCAAGGCCTTGTAAGTCTGCAGTATGTAATATAGAATACCAATACAATATGCTTGCATACTATCTGCTATTGAGTAATCAGCACAATAATTTTAAATCTTTACATTGCTTTGATTTTCTTGCCAGAGATTATACTTAATCACCTCATTTTATGTGAGAAAGTTTGTTTTGCTTTGTTTTAACAAAAGTATATTATCTCACGCTTCTTCTACTACATCTACCAGTCACTCGGACCATCGATCTTCTTTTTCACATTGTTTTACTCAGTGATTTCTGTAAAATATCTCATTTATCATGGCATTGTGACTTACATTACTCTTCCCAGATACAGAGACTTCATTAAGTTTTGTTTTTAAGATTACTGGTCTTTGTTTTAATTTGTGTAAGTTTGATAAGCGTTTATTTTTTTTTTAAATTATAAATGCATGCTAAGTACTTTGTAGGCTGCTGCCCCCTGTTTTTAGTAATGAATAGTATTAGAAATCTGTCCTCAGGTCTAACTTGTTAAATAGGGAGTAATAATCTGAGAACTAAATTTCATTTAAAGAATTTCTTCCTTCCCAAAGGAATGCTAAAATATTTGCACAGTAAGAGTGACACGCTGTGGCAAGTGTGGGATATGTCAGCTGTGTACTACTGTTTTAAGAGTCTTCCTAGTGATAAGAATGTGTTTAATCAAAGAGATAGTAATCAGGGCCATATTGTTCTACTTTTTCTCATGTAACTATCCAGCAGGTAGAAGTTACATGTTTTTATTTACTTTGCCATAAAAATACAATTTTTGAAAATGATTCTGTATAAAACTGAAACAAAACACGAAGAAGAAAGTCCGATTTACCCAAAATTCTACCAAATACTCACCACTGAAGACATTTTTGGCACTACTTTCTTATGTATACGTTGAGTATTTCATACCATGTAGTAGGGTCATTTTCTGTATTCATCAGTAATATTAGATTTACTTAAAATCCTCCTTCTTAGGGTACTTTATGTATTTCTTAAATCATTTTTTAGTGAAGCTAAGTAACTCGTAAGACAAGTTGCCTTTCTTTGTTGGGAAAATAGAATGGAGACAGCAGTGTTCTTCTGTTAGGTGGTGCCATCGTCTCCCACCCCAGGTTAATAAAAATAGTATAGGAGAACGTGTTGGCTTTCTGTGCCTTTTGTAGTTAAAGTTCACTGTGATTATTCATACTTGCACTTAGGGTTAAGAAGTTAAATAGTTCTGTGAGCTGCTTTCCCTCAGGTTCATGGCCATCTTTTTCCCCAGCCCCCTCCCCACACGTAACCGCTTTCACTGCTTTTGTCTGATTCCTCGTCCTTTGTGTACTTGTAGAATATAGTGATTTTTGTCGGTTGTGGGCCCTATCTGTCAACTTAACGTTATAGCTAAGTAGGATTTAGCTCTCTTCTCTTTTTCTGCTTTACCTTACATAGCTGCTGCCAATTCTGGGTCCTGCTGTGATGTGCTAGTTTTGAAGATCATTTATACTGTTCATGTTACTATAACTGTGAATTCCTTTCATAGATGAGCTGTCCATTGTGCTGTCATATGTGATGACTTTCAGTCTTGCTCAGCATTTGTCTGTCTAGTTCGGAGTTGCCTGTTTTGTCTGCCTATGTGCAGTAGTTAGTGATGTATTCTTTCATCAAAAGACAGGCTTTGTCATATGTGATATTGCAGCTATTGATGCTACATGCCTGGTCCATAATTCAATAAAGGGTTGAAAAATTAATATTTTAATATTGTCATTACTACTTCCTTAACAGTGATCTATAAAAAAGCTTTCTGTACCTGTCCTTCTACATGTTTGCTTGTTGTGTACAAAATGTGGAATAAGTGCTGCTTTCCCGTTGCTTCCAAGTTCCCTAAGTGATGACTGGTCATCCCTCCATTTTCACTCTTCCTTGTGATTTGTGAATGACTTACCTAGTTTCTATTTTTAAGAAAAAGTCAGTATGATGGCATGCACTTGCAAAATCACGGCACTGTGGGAGGTTGAGACAGGAGAGTCGCATACTTCAAGCCCATATTGGGAGTCTCAGTGAGTCTCTGTCTCAAAATACAAAAAATGAAAAAGGCTGAGTATGTAGCTCAGTCATAGGCCCTAGGTACAGTCCCTGCTTTTACAAAATTAAATAAATAAGTCGATCGATAGATATTTTTTATCAATCTTAAATTCATGAGTTTGGATGGCTTAACTTATGACAGTAACTTACACATGTGAAGAATCTTAATAGTGCATGTTTCATTTCTTTACCTATTTCTTAGAGAATACAGGTTTTATATTGGGTGGGAGGAGAGTGCAATTAATTATTCATCACTAAGCTTACACTGTGGTGAATTGCTAACCTTCAAAGGTACCCTGACATCTTTAGATAAGAATAATAGTTACTAGATGAGTATTTCCCTCTCCGTGTGCTTCAGGCACATTTTAAAAGCATCACCGTAGCATATAGTTACAGTGTACATTTATAACTGCAGTAAGTATTCAATTCCTCAGAACTGTGATGAGAAATGCTATAGAAACTATCATTTACCATGTGCTAATTGTTAGATAAGCTCATTTTAATCAGTGAATGGAATCAGGTGAGTTGCTTGTGCCTTTGACAGTTGAAACTGCGATCTCTTTTTTGCAATTATCACTTCCCTCGCTTCCTTCTTATACTGTGCATCTTTTTCTTGCTCTTCTGTTCTGTTTTAAAACTTTAAAATGTTATAGTCCTTAAGGCTTCAGTCTACTGATCTTTCAGTGCCATGTGCTTTTCCATACATAGACTCCTCACTGTCTCTGACTTTGATTTGATGGCCACCTATGCACCATCTTTTTATTCTTCAGCCTACATCTTTTCTCTGTATTTAACTAACCTGACTTGCTCCTCTTCCAAATTGGGCACCTACCCCTTTCGGGGTTGGTGGGTGTGTGTGTGTGTGTGTGTGTGTGTGTGTGTGTGTGTCTTCTTGAGACAGGGTCTCACTATGCAGTTCAGGCTGGCCTTGAACTCACTTTGTAGCTCAGGCTGGTCTTGAACTTGCAATGATCCTTCTGCCTCAGCCTCCTGAGTTGCTGGGATTACAGGTGTGCAGCACCATGCCCGGCTTTACCCCACATTTTAAAATAAATGTTTTGTTTTGTTTTTGGTGGTACTGGGGATCAAACCCACGGCCACATGCATGCGAGGCAAGTACTCTGTCAAGGAGCTCTACCCCCGCACCCAAGTTTAATAGTTACATAGAATCAGATTTCCCTCTCTATCTGGTGAAGTCAAATGTCTCAGAAGAAAGCACCACTAGTCACTTAATTGCCCAAGCCAGAGTGGCAACTTTGCGTACCTCCTTTCTCTACCATGTCCCCACACTTAGTGGATTCAGCTTCCTCAGTATCACAGGTAGGCCAGCCGTCTCTCACTCAGAGCATTCCTTGTCAGTTTTTACTTTCTGTCAAAACAGCATTGTCATAGTGCACTTAGGGGAAGTCTTGTTGCATCTGACCTAAAACCTTAGCAGTAGTTTTCCGGTACCTTAAGTTAAACTTACGCTCCCAGCTTTCTTGTTGAGGCTCATCTGTTCTCTAGGGTCAGACATACTGTCATTTCGGTGAAAACAGTTGTTTGTTATTTCTGGCCTTATTAAAAGGACTTACTGGAGCTTAGATTTTATTAGTTCTTGTGATAGATACCCATGAAATTATTTTTTCCTTTGCAATACCAGTTGTTACACTAAAAGTTATTACCTGTCTTTCCCAGTAGTCATAAACTACAGCAGGACAGAGACTTTTTACCTACCATGTACTTTCACCAGATAGAGTAGTATTTCTAAAAAAAAACCTGAGACCTTACATAGTAAGTGGTTGTTGGCTGCAGAGCAAAATTCATTTATTTACTGAGCTATTGAATAAAAGGTATCAAGTAGTGCTTTGTACATAAAAGCACACAATTTCTGTTTCTTCCTTATCCTTGACTAATCTTGTTGGTTTTTCTCATATACATACAGCACCGTATAGACTTTTGGTCTACAGTTGTTTTCTTCCTTTTAAAAATAAAAATGTTTTAATGATGTGTTTGTTTGGGGCATATTGTGCAAGGGAATACAATATAATAAAGGACACATATTTTTAAGATTATTTATAATAATCACCCAAAGAATGATATACAAAAGAGTGCAGGAAATCTGTCCACACACTATGACCAAGGAAACTAGCTGAGGGCCTGGATCCCATAGAAATGTCCTGCATGAGTCCAGCTGAAAACCTAGAGCTCATAACAATGCCTCCCACGAATCCAACTGGAGGCCCAGAGCCCACAACAATGTCCCATGCAGGCCTGTTTCATGGATCTGTGCTGCAAAGGCCCAGAGGTCAGTGGTGGAATCTAGGAAGTCTGTACCAGCGGAATAAAGAATCTGTGCTAGCAGGCTGAGGGATCTACACTGGAGCCAGGAAGTGACGTGCAAAGTAAGAACCAGAGCTCCCCTGAAAAGGACCACCGCTATCCTCAGCAACAGTAAGGTCCCAAACTCCTCCAATGGTGAAGACAGCTGAGTTTCCTTCAGAAAAGCCAAAGTAGCAAGCTTCTCCAGGAGACTGGTGGTGCACCATTTTCCCCTCTGGAGCCAGGAAGCAGTACTCTAAGTGAGAACCAGAGCTCCCCCAAAGTGAACCAAAGCTATTCTCAGTGCCAACAATGTTCCGAGCTCCTCGGAGGATGATACCAGCCGAGCTCGTGAGGAAAGCCAGCAGGACGAGCTCCTCCAACAAAACCGACAGCTCCTTACAGCTTCTACCAGCTCCCAACAGCCTTTCTCTGCTCCCACAGCCTTGCCTCTTCTCCAGTTTTGCCTCCTATCCTGCCGGAAACAGTCCTCAGCTGGGCCTTCCACACCCAGCACAATGCTTACTCAGTTCAGCTGGGGGTTATAAGTTGACCACCAATTGTTAATCCACTACAAATGAGGGTTTCTAATAAAAACTACTTAAAAGCATTGGTATCTGGCCTACTTTATCTGCATAGCTCTTCTCTCTGGAAAGCATGATAACAATGGGGGAGTCACTTTGTAATTATGAACGTTGTCCTTGTAAACATGAAGTAGTACACAAAAAGTATTTCACAATGCTGTTTTGTAAAGTGCTTTTTTTAAAAAAAGATTTCATTTAAACGTCTTATTTTCTCTCTTTTTTTTTTTTTTTTTTTTGAGACAAGGTCTCACTATGGAGTTCAGGCTGGCCTTGAGCTCACTCTGTAGCCCAGGCTGGTCTCGCACTTGCAACAATCCTCCTGCCTCAGCCTCCCGAGTGCTGGAACTACAGCTAAACACCACGATGCCTGGCTCATTTAAACTTCTACAGACCATTAATAATATGGCTTTGGAATGGATCGATAGTTTTTATCTTACCAACTCACTCTAGAATGGAAATGAAAAACATATTGTTATGAACTCCATTTTCATAAAATTATCAGTATATTCTACAACTAGACATTTTATTCCGTATCTGTATGAAACATTCTAATACTGCTATAGCTTTTACATTTGAAGTATTCAGTGTCTTCTTTTGGAAAATAAATACAAATAAATTTTCCAGGCATTGTGGTGCATTCCTACAGTCCCAGCATTTGGGAGGCAGAAGCAAGAGGATCGCCATGAGTTCAAGAACAGCCTGAAATACATAGTGAGACCCTGACTCACTCAAAAAAAAATTAATTTTGAAAGATAACTTTTTTTAAGCTTTCACACAAAACCATTCATACAAGTGCTACATTGAAATTGGTTTTAAGTAATTGCTGAATTGGTCCTAATTGTCTGTGTGTCTATGTATTTTTGATGGTAGTGCGAAGGCTCAAATCCAGGCCCTCTCGTGTTAAAACAAGCACTCTACCACTGAGGTATTCTCCCAGAGCCATACTTAACTTTTGATTCATGTAACATTTTTCCAAGAACTAGTTAAAGAGTAAAATATTAAATGACAAACAGTTGGAATTTAAGAAAGTCAGGGATTACACTTTGATGATGGATGAGGAAAAATGTGAGGAAGGTGGATCTTATAATAATCATAAGTAAAAAAATGGAGACAAGTCAGATACATAGTTACTGCATTTTGGTACTGTTATCTTTCTTATTAAAGAAAGGTCCAGCTAAGATTTTTGAAGAAAAAACTGAGTAGGAGATATTACCAGCAACTTGCTAATTGAGATTGTGAATTTTATAGGAAAAGGTATATTTTATTTCAGTATAACGAGTTTGAAGTGACAGTAGGATGTCAGTGTGAAACTCAAGAATTTGGATGTGGAGATGAGAAATCAGATTCTTCTAACACTTGTTTAAGCTGATTAATAAAAGTTTAAATTAATAAATGCTTCCCTAAGGAATTTTGCCTTTTTATATACTAGATCTGGCATATTGAACTATTTTTTTCCCTGCCATAGTTCACAAAGATGTCCAAAACTAATGGCTTATCAGAGGATTTGATATGGAACTGTAAGACACTGATCCAAGAAAGGGATGTAGTTATAAGACTTATGAACAAATGTGAAGACATTTCAAATAAATTGACAAAGCAAGTTACCATGCTCACTGGAAATGGAGGTGGATGGAACATAGAACAACCGTCCATTCTAAACCAAAGGTAATATTTATTAAACACTGTCATTTATCTCAGTTATAAAAATATTTGACCTTATTTTTGCAGTGTGCCTAGGGACATTAAATAAGATGCCACAGCTATTGTCAGGAAAGAACCCCCACCCCTATTCCTACAATGGCATGTCGTGGTGTATGAATGGTTTCTCACTGATTTTCTTTTCCCCCTACCCTGAGCAGGGTATTTGATTTTTTGTCATTGTATATTGGTGGGGCAGAATGGTATGATCTTGTATAGTCTTATCTCTTCCTTATCTGATAACTTACAATTTTTTATATAATCACAGAAACTAAAAGGTGGGTTTTATCCCCGTAAGTCTGGTGTTTGTAAAAATGTCCATTACTTACTTCTGTTACTGTAAAAGTTTATGAACCCATAACTTTAATTGTGAAATTATTAAAATATCTTATATCTGCGGTAAAATATTTTTTGAAAAGCCCAGATTTGTAAGTCTCCTTCTGGGGTAGAAACACTTCAGGAAGGAAAATGAAAAGATATTTGTATTAAGTAGACGCATAACTCCCCCAAGTTGCTACTTTCGATAAAATACCTTGACAAAACTCTTGCAAAAAATAAACACTAAAGATTGTTCAGCAGTCAGCAGCCATTAAAATGGCTTTTTGTCATTGAGAACTGCCACATTTGGCATGCTTTTGAGTGACTGGGTTGGGAAATTGTTTTAAACTTCCTTTAAAAGTTTATTTTAAGTAGTCTGGAGATTCAGCACTGTTCAGAGTACCCTTTATAAAAAAAAAATACGAAAGTGTTTGCTATTTAAAGTGATGTTATTTATAGCACTAAGAACATGGAGACAATCCTAAAATCAGGGAGTAATTGGAATGAATTATGGTATATCCATACATGCAATGTTGTGTGACTTTATGAACATCTGTTCAGAATATTGTTGATAGATATTTTAGTAAAATGAGCACTAAGGTCTCATTAAAATGACTGCCTTAGTTGTTGATTTTAATTTTGGTATTTTTCTAAGTTAATAATCAAAGCATATTTGCTGATCATTGGTTAATAATTAAAAGTCAAGTTATAAAAAAGGATATGGTCACTGGCCTTTAACAGTAAGTGACAATCTTTTCTGTGCCCTTCTAGGGTACTATGGGATGGTGTAGGGGAATGTGATGCAGTTCCCACAAAACAAGGTCTTTTCTCTGTTGCATAGAAAGAACTATATCAGCAAATTCATCTCCTAAAAGTGTAGTTGGAGCTGCTGCTTCTTGTTCTCCAGCATTGGATATGGGGAGCTCTTCACTCTACAAGACTTACCCAGTTGAGACTACTTTATCATAATTTGGATTTTAAAAATCAAGTGCTTTATTGCATCACTTAAAAATTTTTCTCTTAAATCCATATTCACAAAAGTTGTAAATAGTATGATCCGGTAATACACTATCCTTTTCATTAGACAGAGGGTTTTTGGTTTTTTTTTTTTTTTTTAAGTACTTGATCTAATCCCACGTACAACTCTCAAAGGCTTTAAGAGATAGTCTGTTCAGATTTTCTTTAAATGAATTTTTAGGGGTGGAATGTATTGTCTTGGTTTTTATATTTCAACCAATATAAGAGTTGCAGAAACAGTTTTTCTTTGGTGTACTGGCCAGGCAGTGTATTAACACACACACAAAAGCATTAGGCCATCCTGATGGATATCTTATTGTGCTTGTATCTCTTATGTGTGTGCTGGGGATCCACACACATATGTTCCACAAGTGCTCAACCAGTGAGTACACCCGAAGCCCTTGGATAGTTCCCTTCACAGAATAAAGGCTTGGTAGTAAAGTATGCTTTGAAGCAATACTAATATTGTTTAGTTTTCCATTGCAAGTTTATGTGTACATTGTGATAGAAAATTTGCCTTTTAGAGATTGACATTTTAGAATTCTTGCTAAAGATAGTTTTGGAGACAGCTGGGCATGGTGGCTTAAACCTATAATCCCACTACTTGGTAGGCTGAGGTAAGAGGATGTCCAGGAGTTCAAGGCCAGCCTGAACTACATAGTGAAATTCTGTCTCAAAAGAAAACAAAAGTTGGTAGAGAAACATAAAATTTCTGGTCTAAACCATTGTACAGTTTTTATTTTAAAATGTTAAATATGATACAGTGAAGGAAAGGGAGAGAAGACTCAGAATTTCACTCTTATTGTTGCAGCCATCTCTAGGGCTTTAGCAATGAAGACAGACTTTAACAGAATTTCAGATTTCTCACACAATCCATATACAATATATTAGCCATGCGTGTCCTGCCCTTTAGTCCTGTTCTACCTCAATCTCTCAAGATTCTTGTCCTGAACTTGGCAGAACAGGTTCCCTATGCTGTTGGTTCCATATCCTGTTTTTGTTAATCAGAGGCTGAGGCCATTTTGAGTCCTGCACAGTTGCACTTAGACTTAACTCAAAAGTCCTGGGATGTAAATATTTCACTTGAATGCTTACATTAGATGTGGTATTTTCAGTAGCCGTTTCCCTTACAGACTTGGGGCAGTTAACATCTCTGTGCATGAGCCACATAAGCTCAAGTAAGTACATCATATATACCCTGCTTTTCCGTTCCAAGTCTTTCTCACCTTTGAAAATAATTTTGAAACTAGTTTCTTTGACGAGGGATATAAAGCCAATTTAATTTCCTCTAACAGAAGCAGTAACTTCAGAGTAATCTGCTGCCTCATTTTCCTTTATGATCTCAGAAACTTTTTTTCCTTAGTAGGTAAAGAGCACCATCCATTTGGAAATACGTGTCATACTCTTCACAAAGGAGTCCTTAAGTAGTTAAAAAGACCTGACCAAATGTCTACATTTTTTTCTTTTCATTTTTTTTAGTGTGTTTGTGGTACATAAGGATTATCATTATGGGGAGTGGATGCACACATATAACACACCTCAGTTCTTTTTATCTTCATTCCGCCTACTCCTCCCTCCATCTCTAGATTTCCTGTTTTCACAAGTTCTGTCTCGTTCCTTGTCTTGCTCTTTGTGTTATGTATTTGGGCTTCTTATATAGGAAAAGCCATGTGATATTTAAACTTTTGGGTCTGAGTTGTTTCACTTACCATTATGGCTTCCAAATGCTTTCATTTTCCTACAGAAGTTTTAGGACAAAGTCATACTCCATTGTGTATAAATACCACATTTTCTTTTATCTGTTCATTTTTTGCAAATCCCTATAATTCTTATAGTTACCCTGTTTTTAAAATTGGTCATAATGCATTGGGTCCAAAATGTCTTTGTCAAAATTGCATTTTCATTGATCTTTTTACATTCCAAAGAAAGTACCTGTAACAGGTAGCACTTTTAGGATACTAAAATAAAAGGTAGTTGTACTTTAGCCAAATCCAGCAAGAAGAATAAATTTACAAATACATCTACATATTTTTACAACAAATACTTCAATATAATAAAGCTGTTAACCTAGTCAAATTATTTTAACAGAGTTTGTGATTGTGTGTCAGTTTTATTTTAATGAAAACTTACAGGTAATAGATACTTTTTTTTTTACTGCTTCTTCACATTCGATGTATAATGAACATTTGAACAGTTAGTCTTAATGGGTTAGTGATGAGTTCCAGTCATTTTTGCTCAGAATAGTTTGTGGTAGGTTGTACACTGGGATGGCACGTTGAGCCTTCAGTTTATTTACAAGCGATGTGCTGTACCTATTTTAGCAAGTTTGGTCATTTTCGTGAAATGTCAGCCTTATGTGTGAAAGATAAGTGAACACTAATGCTTTGAGAAGGACCCAGAAAAATAATGGAGAAATTCAGTGTTGGCTATAGGGTGGGTGGTCAGCGAGAGAACTTGTTCATTTTTGCTCTGTAGTGGTTAAGAGAAGAGCTTTGGATTCGACACCTCTCACTGCAGACCTGGATTTGGTTAGCTGTACTGCCTCTGGCTGTAAGATCTCTCAACCTGAAAGATCTTTGCATCTGTAAGAGTTTTGTTTTCTCGGTAGCAGAAAAGTTTATTGGCAAAGACAGCAAAGGAACTTTTTTTCCATACAGTGAATGAATTGTAAAGATCCTAGAAGGACTGGGAATTTTTCTTGTACTTTTACTTCAATTTTTTAAGAAAGGAAGTTTATATATTCCTTGCCCCACCGTTGAAATAGATTCAGATTTAAGATGGACATCTTTCATCCCCACCTCCTTTTAGTTGACTTTTTTTTGGAACTGGGAATCAAACTCAGGACCTTGCGCTTGCCAGGCAGGCACTCCCGCCACTGAGCTATATTCCCAGCCCCCCCTCCTTTTAATAAAGGTATCTTGATTTAGAAGCTTGACCCCTTACCCATTCCTTAGGCCATAGTTATGTTCTGACTGCTTCCCTGTGTACAGACCACGTGTGTGTAAGGGGAATTTAAGGGGACCTGATAAAAGCTGGAGAATGGGCATATAGCCTTGTCCTAGGTATATGGGTTAATATGGGTGTGTGCTGTCCCAGTGATAATGGGAACAGGTGCAGGAGTGAAACTGACTCCCTGAATTAGAATCTTAGCCTTCACCTCTAGCTATGAAACCTCGGGCAGAGTATTGAGGATTGAGGGTTTTTAAAAATCTGTTTAAATAATAACTACATCATAGGATGTTTAAAGGGTTAATGAGGTCATATCTGGAAAAAGCTGTGTTTATATAGCAGGCATTTGATAAATAACTACAGTTAGTTTTAACCACTTGAAACTTTTAAGCTGTCTTAACATTAACAAGTCCTTTCCAGGGATTGCTTCATGTGTTTCCAATTAAGTAAGGTGCTGATACTTACATGTTATTTCCTACTCACTGGTGCTCCTTGGTGTTGAGCAGGTTCACATTTGTGCACAGTACACACATTAATGTATTCAGAGGCCAGTAGAGTCTAGAGTTATACATACCACCAAGTTCTGGGGTGACAGGTACTCACGCAGAAAGCATTTATCAGCCTGACAAAATAGCAAATGATGTTTATGGGCTTTGTCCTGTGCTAAAAATCAAGTCAGTACAACTCAGTTTTCTAGGATAAATTTAATCTTGATGATGTTATAATAGTTAATATTCTGATCATTTATGGAATTGATTTGGTAGCATTACACAGTGATCAAATAAGGAATTATTTTATATAATTTGTACTGCCAGAAGAATTAATTCGACAAATACAGAATAAAGTTTGAGAAGATTAAAAATGAATATGCTTTGAATTTTCTTAAATAGATGTACA